AGTAACATGTTTTTTTGTCCAATCGCTGCAGCTGTCAAATATTGAACATCCAATAGTGTCGCACTAGCTAATACCCTATTGGATGAAAAAGGGAAGGGTCACCGTAGCGCCATCTAGTGATCAAAATACAGTAGCTCCCATTTTGTGACCCTCAAATACTTTTCAATGCTTAGGTCCAATGATAAATAGCATAATAATATTTAAGTAACATCTAATGCAGGATATCCTAATCTTAGACAAGACACGCTTTCATTAGAGATTATTATATTATGGGTAATTCTCCAGTTGATAAGGAAGTAAAACAATAATATCTAAATAATGTTATTTACGGAACGGAGAATATCATAAACATTAAGACAAATAAATATAAAACTCAATAATATGTTATTGTTACATTATATACTTACTTATAAAGGTAGGTATATAGATATCGTATTAATTATTAAACCATATCATATCATACTATGTATATTGGTAGGTATAATTTAAAAAGTAATACTTATTAACCGACTTCAAAATAAAGAGGTTCTCAGTTTGACCTGTATAGGTATGTATGTTTGTCTGCAATTATCTTGTGATTAACTGAAACGATTTTGATGTGGTTTTCATCTTACGATGTTAAAACGTAACGTAAAGTATTAAGACCTTTTTTTCTTTTTTTAAGGTAACGTACAAATACTTAAAATTCACAATGTAAATAATTTAGTTGTTATAATTAAAATAAGCCTATTTATTTTAACAAACAAGTTTGTACCGATATGCCGATTTTTCTTTTCTTTATAGGTACCGATTTATCACACAAAATGGCCAATCAAAAACCTGCCAATTTATATGAATTAAGGTCAAAGGCCACTTTCATTTCCATTGAAACATAGTTTACTTTTATTCAGCGCTAATTATTTAATAGAAACTTGTTGGTGACAGACGTTACATAATTCCAATTTAATTGTCATTAATGGCGGAGTAATTTACTCAATTCTTTGTAAAATCTCATTTTAGGTTTTTGTAACATAATATAATTGATGTTTGAAACGTTTACTTTGTCATCGTTGATGTGATGATGGTGATGATCTGATTTTTTATTGATTTACCGAAGAGTCGACCTTGACATTTTTGCAAAGGACGCTTGATGGACAATGGCTTTCGTGAATGCGGATTTTACACACGTGCATCGTGTAAATAGCACTTGATACTAGACGCATACATTATGTTAGTCTAAGAACGTAAACCTGTTGCTATAATTATTATATCACACCTGTTTTTTTAGTAATGAAAGGTCAGGTTTATTGTACGCATTATTGTTTTTCAATTTACATTGTAATTATATAATTCTTTTGTAATAAATATTACCTAATATTTTTTTTAATATTGGATTGAGAGTATATTGGTAGATTGTCTATAATATTATGCATTGGATTAAAAGTATACCGGTTGGTTCTTAGTTTTTTCTATATAACTCCATGCTACTTGTTTTTATAATAACTATAGTGAGACATACTGAATTAACTTTTGACGTGAATGTATTGAAGAAAGCTCTACTAGTTTCGAGTCACAGAGGGACTCTCTCATGAGCAGCGTGTGCGGTCGCGGCAATGTGGCGCCGCCTACTAAAGGAGGCTGCTGACAAAATCTTTATATGAATCGAAACTTGTAGAACTGTTTTTCAGTATATTTAAATGAGTAACTTGTTATTTTTAATTAATCTATGCTACTTGCACAAATCTGTAGCTCTATTTCAGATCATCACACACAATAATGCTATTTAGGTTACCCACTAAGAGAACTATGAACAATACTAATTACATAATCTATCTACCTATATTATGATTTTTTTTTAAGGGGAGAAAATCATCGAATGACTGCTCCCGCCTGGGTGAGGCGGGAGGGAGTGTCAGACTCTTACTGACTAAAAACCACCCCGTTCCTTCTCCTGCACGTCGAGCCGGAGCCCCGGTTACCCGTTAGGTTCTCCGCGACACCTATATTATGAATAAAAACATACTGAGAGTACCTATATAAGCCATTAAGATTTTTACTAATATATGTAGAAATACGCAACAAAACAATTACGTGTTACTTATTTATTCTATAATAACTATGACTTTGTAGGTAATTCTTATTACAAAAGCTCTTGTTTTTACTGCCTTTCATTATCGTCCTTATTATCATGTTATTGAACTATACGAAAACAAAGATCAATTAACTAAATATTAACGATATAGATCAACTTATTAATCAAATCAATTTGTTTCGATAAAATTTCCCGCTTGGTGGTAACTTACCGATAGATTACATCAACATTTTCTCATTATTCGTCATAAGACGGCTTGTTAATTAAACAATATATTGTTCTTATAAATTCCGACAAATTCCTCAAAAAATTCCGATTAAAATAATGATTACAAGAACTGATCTTGTAAATTAAACCTCACAGCGTAGATTAAGATGCTTCGACGGATAGGTAAGAAATACTAAGTTTGAGTTTTATTCAATCGGAATTTTCATAATTTAGTATAGGTAATAACAGTGTGGAATGTAGAAATTGACGTAAATATCGGTTAGATACATCTTTTCGATAAATATTATAATAGTCTACATAATATATAGTAGTGGCAGTCGAATGTGGTCTAAGCTAAGCGACACTATGAAATTATTCATTATTCACAAATCATTATAATTAAAATAAGATAAGACAAAGGTTCTGCCTGCGATTATGAGGAATAAGAATAAGATGTGAGGTTATGTTCTGACTCAAGACACTGTCTGCGAGCCGGAACGGTGGTCATCTTTTTTCTTTCTATTTCGCATACGGGTTTAGTTTGAATTTTTTTATGAATACATGGTTTCCAAGATTAGTCTAGATTGATCTACATGTAAGCTATCACCCAAACGTAGTTAAAATGATTGATCATTATGATTGCCATTCGTTTTAATCCGTGACTAATTAATGCAACTACATGTTTAAAGTACGGACGGAAAAAATGTGTTGACGGGCGCACGAAATATATTTTTTATATTGTACCATTATCCTTAAGCACGAGTTAAAAGTATGGTAATAATACAATTATAGAAATTAATAAAAACCTCGTATTTTTTGTTTAATGACGTTCAAATTCAAAATGCCGGAAAGCGAACTTATGAAGTGACAGGACTGGTATTCATAATGTGCCTATTCTTTGATACCATAAGAAATTGCTAATGTGTATATCTATATTTATGTATAGTTTATACATATATAAACAAAAATGAATGTCCGTTCCGTCGTTGAGAACGGCTGAACCCATTTGGGTAATGTTGGTTTTGAAATGTTCGTGAATGTTCTGGGAAAGTTTAAAAGGTGAGGAAAAATTTAGGTGGTACGAAGTTTGCCAGGTCAGCTTGTAATATATAAAAATGAATCCCTATATCCTTTGGTCACGCCAATACGCGTGAGCGGCTGGACCGATTTCATTTTGTTTGTTTTATTTTGTTATGCTTGTTTATTGTTAGAAGAAGGTTCTTATGACAGAAAAAAATCCTGAACGTCTTACGGGAACGGGAACAACACGGGAAATACAACGGGATTGCGCGTACGAACTCATGTAGTCAAGTAGTTATGTTTTATTGGAAAATTTGATTGGTCTCTAACTAACCCCCAGCGCCAGTTCAGTAAGCGGTGCCTGAAGCTAGTAGAGGTTTAACTTTCACCATTTTTAAACTTGACAGTTAAAGTATTAATCATATGCCTATCTTAGAGATGTTAGTCGCGGAGAACCTAACGGTAACCGGGGCTCCGGCTCGATCTGCAGGAGAAGGAACGAGGTGGATTTTAGTCAGTAAGAGTCTGACACTCCCTCTCGCCTTATCAAGGCGGAAGAAGTTATTCGATGATTTTCACCCCTTAAAAATAAAATCCTAGAGAGTTACGATCTTCACTTGTTCTCAGTGTCTCCTTCCCTACCTCCATCAAGTTTCAAAGAAATAAACAATCTCACTCATAGCAATGTTAACGACAATTAATTAATTTATTATCAATAAAATAATTGAATTTACTGCAAACAAAGTGCCTTGATATCACACAATTTATGAAGGTACTTTATCATTGTTTTTTAGCTATTTCTCTGATGAGAAAATAATATATCCAACTATGAACCTTTTTGACATACTTATTATTTTTTGTTTTTTTGCAGTATGTTGTTTTAAGTTACTATACAGTTAATTAAATAATTGTGATCCTTTACTAATTCAGGGCATGCCGACTTAACCTAAAAAACTCTGCCTTGACCAAATACAATTGGTCAAGGGTAAGGATTTAAACTGTTTAGGTGCACGAGGAAACATGGAAGTTTTAAAATATTGTTTAATTAACAAAATATTATTTTGTTTGCTTTTCGTACCATAATATGATGATTATGAATAATCATAACATAAAATAACATAAAATCACGCCTTTTATCCCCGAAGGGGTAGGCAGAGGCGCACATTACATTACAACTGAGATTTTTAAAAACCCAGTAATACTTTGCCTGACCCGGAAATCAAACCCGAGACCCCTTGCCCGGCAGTCGCACTTGCGACCACTCGGCCAACGAGTAACCAAATGACAAGAGATTCATTATGATGACTGCCTGTGTAGTAGGTAGTATTATTATTATCGGTAGTAGTACAGTACAGCACAGGACAGTTATCCTACTGCTGGTAAATAATAAAAATAAAAAAAACAATAGCAAAGTAGGATCATTGGACGATATTATAATGTCAATCGCTATCATCATTTCATTTAAGATTCAAGTTTAAACTGTCAAACACCAAGCGGTCACCGGTGACCGCAACCTATTGTTCTATAATTGTGTCTACAAAACCGGTACTCGACGAGTTAATTAATTAACCTTGGTACAAAACATATGGGGTATTTTTAGTTCATGTTCAACTGTTTTATATTTTAAATATTTTAAAATTCTTGCATAATTAAAATAAATTTCTGAGAATCACGTGATTTAATTTTTTTTCCTTCTTTTCAGATGTTGGGATTTGGCTCTTCAAACGCTTTTGGCATATTATTTCATAATTTCTTTTTGGAGCAAGGCAGTGCCAGTGGTCTACCATTAGTGATAGGAGTCTATAATGGAGCCCTTTCAATAGCTGGTGAGTTCAAAATAAATATGACATTAATAAATATAAATTGAAGTGTAAATTTGTTATAAGAAAATCTGTAACATTCAAATCCCGTGAAGTTTGTTTTTATGTGACATTACCTACCTTATCACTGATTTTCAAAAATAGTAGATGTTGATTTGATAAAAAAAAATATTTGATTGACATTAAAACGCTTCGTGTTAATCCAGAAACACGTGTTAATCCCCGAAGCCATCAGGACTTACGTACCTACACCCGTTTTAAACCAGCTTAATTCCATGCAATGGGAGACAACCCTACTTCAATATACTGGCCATTGTGTTTCTAATTCTGTATTTCAAAATTAATATTTAAATGAATCACCATTGCTTGGGTTACAGAAAAAGTAATTTGATAGCACATCACTTAAACCAATTTCGTCGTTAGGCGGATGCATTGGACTGTGGGTACACGTGTAGTTTCTACCAGTTCGTGTATCGATCATGGCTCAAGTTACTATCACTAATTAAGGATAGACAATGTAGCACAGCACAAATCGTTTAATCGAGTCAGATTGGGCAAAGGGACCAATAATAGTCTAGTTACAATGTTCTTCTGACCTCCATTAACATCATTATTCATAATTTGACTTGTCAAAGATGCTGATGGTGTTATACATTCCTCCTAAATCAAGGTTTATAATTTTGTCAAACATACAACTAAATACTTAGATATAATATCAAATTCAACTAGTCATTTAAGTGGACTTTGATATACTTGGACCACATTTGTGCACGGTAAAGTCAACTTCAATTCAATCCAATTTCATTACTTTGTCGAGACCTCGAACACCGTCTTGGAATAGCTGTAAAATTGCAAAGGGAAATAAGAAAAAATATAGCAAAATTGTACGACAGTGATACGTCGTCTAAAAATAGTGTTTTTATAAATGTAAACAATATTACATCTCATGTATTATTTATTAGTATTTTCAATCCGGTCCTAAGCCGTAAACTGATATTGTCTGTAGTGTAAATGACACCGTTTCCGCGAGTGACAACACTACTGTGTGATACCGACCTTTTACTTCTTATTAGGTAACGCTCTTGTTTCATGTATCAGCATTTATTTACTTATGTCACCATTTCGGTGGATTATATTACTAAAATAATTAGTATCCTTATTGTAATTGCCTTCATCGAATATCATCTTTCCTCAACTTTTAGAATGGTAATGATCTTGACCGTGCCCTATTAATTCCTGTCTGTCTGTTGTGCCGTCTGTAATTCTGAGAATTTTTAAACCGGTTTATGAAGAATTGAATTTTAATATAATTTTTGAAGATTGTGTTATTAAAATGGTATTTTAATTTTAAACTAGCACGTTTTCTTATGATACAGTGAGGCTTTTTGTTAGATATAAATATGATTTCAAAACTTTACGTAAAATCAAATCTTAACTAATTGATGGGTAGTACTAATGGGTAGTATGCAACATCCAGGATACATACATTCTTAAATATCTCCTACTAATGTATGTACGTATGTGCAGCGCGAGCAAGCGATGTATGCTCTTGACTATCTTGACGTTGCTGGACTGTATGATGCATCTCTTACAGAAATTGTTATAAACATTTTATATTTATTGTTGCAGGGTTCTTAGGAGGCATCGCTTTGAAGCGATATTCTTTTCGTCAGGTGGGTCTCGTTGGAGCTGGACTCTTTGTGCTTGGCGATGTTCTCACAATATTCGTTCAGAAGACTTATCAATTAGTGTTTACATTTGGAGTAGTAAGAGGTAAGATAAAGCAATACCTATATTAAAATAAGGTATTAAACGAAACAAAATGCTTTTTATATCGAGAGCTTACTTTAATACCGTTCAATTTTTATCCACAGGGGCTGGTTTTGGTATGATGATACCAGTTAGCTTCACCGCATTTAACTGTTACTTCACCAAGAAAAGAACAGCTATGATGAGTGCCAATCAAGCAATGAGCAGTTTAGCGTCTATAACCTTCCCGATGCTGGTGACATTCCTTCTCTCGGAGTATGGGTTAAGGTGGACCCTCGCTTTGATTATGGCTGTGGACCTACATCTAGTCTTTGCTATGCTAGTCATGCATCCTGTTGAATGGCATATGATTAAATCTGAGGAATATGTTGAAAAAGGTGACAAACTTATTCATGACTTGAGTTCTTACTAAGCATTCAGATGAATAAAACTAAACTTTAATATTATGTATTTTTCTTCAGAATTAAGTGATATAAACAGTATTAAGAAAGAAAACTACGATGAGTTTGCGGTAAGAATGTTGCCAGCTGGTGAAGATGAGACAGAAGTTAGACCTGTTAAGAAGAGAAAGAAAGAATCAATGAAGATGAACATTGTGTAAGTGTTTATAAAGAGTAACTACTACAGAGGTAACTACTGCGATAAGGCTACAAATAAAACATATTATAATGTGGATCATCGTCCTGACTGACCCATTTCTACAAGATGACAATGCACCCTCACAGACGACAGTGACAATCTTTCTCGGTCTTATCTTTATAGTGTTTGTTAACGTTAATTATGTTTAATATTTATTTCAGAAAAATTATATGTGAAAATGTAGAGATGGACTTATTAAAGGATCCCAAGTTTGTGAGCACGCTGGTTGGACTTGGATTTGCTTTCGTGTCCGATGTAACGTATTTGGCAATGGAACCAATGCTTCTATTTTCATACGGATTTTCAAAGGTAAAATTAGTTATTTTATAAAAAGAAAAATGTTTAGATAAATTTTCATTACTTATAATATTTTTACAAGGCGCTTTGAATAATATCTAAACTTTTGATCATATTAACGTTTTGATCTTTGGTCTTGATAGTGAATGCTTAGTAATTCCGGATACTGAGTTAATTTGCGAACGAACGGTGTGTTATGTAGATTTAAACATACCGATTATCTAAATCACTATCGTTTCAATTAATATACCAGTTATCACCTGCGGCGACTTAGTGATTGTTAATGGTTGTTTTCTTTTAAAATTTACAGATGCAGGTAGCAACGTGCGTGATGGTCGGGGCGATATCTGATTTATTAGCAAGATTAGTGCTTGCTGTAGTCACTTATTTCATTGTTGTCGACAGCCGATTAATTTTCTTCATAGGCACCTGTATAACTGTTTTTCTTCGTATTGGTAAGTATTTTGATGTAAATACTATTTAATACTACTTTTATCAGTTAAACAAACAAAGAGTTTTAATTTATTTAAGTTGCTTATTAATTCTAGAGCCTTGGACTCCGATATTTTAGGGTATAATTATGTAGATTTGTAATCTGTTACGATTATGGTTCTGTTTTTCCGATATTGACTTATACCTATATAAAACGGTGTCTTGTCCCAGATATATAGTCAGGAATGTTTATGTTTATTTACAGGTTTAGTAGCCACAAGTTCATTGTGGGTAGTGTTTGGCATCACTGCAGTCTCTGGGCTGGTGAGATGTTCGGTCCAAGTATTGTTCCCGCTGGTCCTTGTAGGTGCAGCACCGGACAGGTTCCCTGCAGCATTAGCTCTGCACATATTGTTCTCCGGTACACTAATGATGTTAGCTGACCCCATGATTGGTGAGTACTCTAGCTCAATATCTGCTTTATGAAAATGTACTTTAATTTTTTCTATCTACTAATCAACAAAGATGCACGTCCATTGTTTAGATACTGAACGATAAGATTTATAAAGGCAAAGATCGGTAGATTTGGGTTCTATTAATTACTATTAATTACATATTTATCTGTGTATAATATATATCAAGCATTAATAAGTAAGATAAGTAAGTTAAGTATGATTGTATCGTTTTGATATTTCCATTAGTATATCGCTTATTACTTGCAATTCCTTAAATTCTTAGTCATGTTTGTAATTTGTCAATGTCTAAGATATCTTTGTACATGATTGATAAATTAATTACTCATTATTCATTGTATTATTGTTTTTTAATTTAACGAAATACATACTAAGCTTGCATGAAATACTTATCTATCATATTTCCTTTCTAGGGGTGCTGTATGAAGCTACAGGCAGCTACGTGTACTGTTTCTTCGCAATGAGCTTCTGTTGTTTAGTCTGTGTCATGCTGTGGAGTATAGAATACTTAGTCTACCGCAAAGGTAGGACGAATAGTAATAGAGGATATTAGAAAATTTTAATAGACTCATAGTTTGAAGCTAAGATTTGTGTCTAATTAAAAACGTTTTGGTCTAAGACTAAAACTATGTGATTGATCTAACTCATACCATGCCTTGAGTAAGACTGGCTGGGTTTATCCGAGTGTGATGTTCCTTAGTAGAGTACGTTTAATTAATAAGATAATATTATTAATAATGTTATTCATAAATATATAGTTACCTTCACTTCACATTATTTTAAAACTTAAATGTAGACAATTGTACGCTAAAATAGCTTAAAGACAAAATTTTGTTCATGAATAAGAGTGTTACAATTTTGTGTCCAAAACATATTTTTTTTCGTAAATTCATTGGAGAATGAAGTGAAGTAATATTAAAATTGACCAAAGATTTGTATACTTTTAATTTAACGTGAATTAATCACTGCCAGTTGCATTAATGCAGTAATTTATTAGACCTACAATACTGAAAGGCTACTAAATTTGAAGTTGTACTTAAATATCGTGCCATCTCAGTCACTTTATAAAGAATTTTGACAGAACTATAATTAAGCGCAACTTAAAATTGAGTAGCGTTGGAGTATTTGAACATTAAAGATTTATTATAAAGTAATGGAATAAATAAGATAAAAGGGCATTAAAACTTTTGTAAATGAGTGAGAAGTAGAGTCAGTTCATAATGTTCATTCTATCTCTCTCGCACGCATGTTTAAAAAAAGACGTCACAATTCATGTTATTTTCATGCTATCAGATTTTAAATGATTGTATTATGTTTATTTTATTGGGATAAAAGTATCAAAATTAGAATGGAATCTATAAAATAATCTATATATTTTATTGTACGTCCAAAATATCTTATAAATTACTGCATTAACGTTCTTTATGCAGAAATATCGTATTATTAAATATATTTTATCTAAGTTTGATCTAGGGTTGTTTTAAAACCGATGGATGAGGCCGCAATGATGCGATGTGGCGATTACGTACCGCAAAAATGACAAGCGACGTGTTGCACAATATGACAACGTATCGTCGCAAAAATATTTCGATTCATTTGTACAATCAGTGTACCTAATGAAAGTTTATACGTTAACACGATCGACACGTTTATAACGTGTTGGGCTATGATTGGTCTGCTTCAATTAAGTAACCAATCAGAGAGCTAAAAGCTGTAACGGTTCGATCACGTTAACGTCAAAAGTATCTTGCAGTAGGTCCTCGGACCACATAGCGTTGTGCGGAGTCGTAGAATTCTGCGATGCGTCGTTACGGTCGTCACAAGGCGCATTATGTATGCGGCATATTGAATGTAATATTTCAGTAACTTTGTAATTAATTAAGTAATGTGCCATCTTGTAAATAGATTTTATTATTGATTTAGTTATAGGTATCAATTAATTTGTTTTAGATAGTGTCCTTATGTCTTAAGTAGTAAGAGAGAATTTGATAACGAAAAAACTTGACTTTTTATATTGTTTATACATATTACGTGAACTTCAAATAGTGTATATTGGAAAAGAAAACGGTAGTTTCTGGTGTTCAACATTTTTTACAAACAGCAATCATTCTAATTCAATAGTTCGCTAAATTATGTAAATAATATTTGTTTTAATAAACCAGTTTTTGTAAACAGTTTATTTACATGTTATTTTATATAAAAAAATGGACGGGGAACAGCTGTTGTTTATGTTTATTATGTTAAGTGTTATTTTTACATACTAAACTTGAATTATAATTATTCTTTTTATCAATTAATTTTATTTAAGCACATAAAACCTTTCTTCAAACTTGAATCGAAACTGGGACGATAAAGTGTGAATAATTTATTAGGGCTCTTGAATAAAATCTTGTGGATATTGATAGAAACATTCATAGCCCACGTGGTTGATCGACGCTAGCGAAGGATTTGCCTTCAACAGTTTTCAGTTGTCAGTTAAAGACTTAAGAAATATTCAAAGTTTGCTAGTATTGGATGTCGCTTTCGAGTACTTTTTACGGTATAACTATACTATTATCTATACGATCCCTAGGTTTCATTTTCAGAAAAAGTTGTTTACAACACCGGGTAAAGCTTGATCATCCAGGTGTTAGTATTAAAGAGCAAGTTACTTCGCAACGTGGAAATATTAACAGAAGAAAAATAATTGTAATCTTAAAAAATGTATACACATTTCTTTGCTCATAATAAACGAATATTACATTAAGGTAACTGTTAAAATTAAAAAATATAAAAAAATATGGTGCAATAATAAACCACGAGATATTTTTTAACTTTTATTTAAAGACATAATTAATCAATTGACCTCACGATGACACAACTAAATCGTCTAACAATTATGGTTACCAAAATTAGTAATCAGGTTTTAAATTAACGATATCTTCACGCACTGCTAATAATTTTACTGAGAAATAATCGAAAATAGATATAATCTTTACATATTTTTGAATAATCGTATTTTTTCAAGTAATAATAGCTTTAATGACATGTCATAAAAGCCATTATATTAATGTATCGTGAATAACGAATGCATATCGTATAATAAATTTAGGTATAACACACATTTTTTGAATCATAAATATTAAAATATAAGTTCTCATTTATTTAAATATTATATTTATAAAAAAGTTACTTTTGATAAGTTCAATTTTTCGAGGTCTCTTTGAGATTCAGATTGTGTCCTCATCTTTTTTCTGGTATTGTTTTAAATATCTGTCTTAAAAAAATATCAGGCTTAGCTCTATGAGTCCTTACATCGACCATGAAGTGAACAACATATCTGTAGATAGTACTAGGCTTTACAAATAAGTTAGGCTGCGTTGGATGGTACCCTCACTCTTGGTTCGATTCTAATCCTGAATCCATCTGATCTCTTCAGAATGATGTCTCCCTTAAGCTGGAACTCTTCCTCAGGGACGTCAGAAATTGTTTTGTAGTTTCTCAAGATGGTTGATAGAAGAATCTTTAGTTTCAACAGAGCGTACTTGCGTCCTGTGAATGCAATGTTAGTATTAGTATGGAACATATTAATAAATAACGTTGTCGTTTCTTATTTAAGACATATGTTTAAGTATTTAGATTCAGATAGACTGCCTCGTTGGCCGAGTGGTCGCATGTGCGACTGCCGGGCATGGGGTCTCGGGTTCGATTCCCGGGTCGGGTAAAGTATTGCAGGTTTTAAAAAAATCTCAGTAGTAGCACGGATTCTGTATTTGTGCCCGGTATATGGCAATAGGCTCACCCCCTATTACATGGAACTCATAACATAAATAGTGAAAAGTGGGTGATACCGTAATATGCACCTCTGCCTACCCCTTCGGGGGTAAAAGGCGTGATGATGATCTTCTCACAATAAAAAGGTAAACATTACCAACTGCAATGCAAATTAAGGCCCTAAATAAATTTGTTAGGTATATTCTGTTGCTTTTAATAAAAACAACGTTTAAAAAAAAAAAAAAAAAAAAAAAAAAAACTTATTAGGTCTTTGTGGTGTAAAGTAAACAGTGGGTACATATCATACCAAATACCCGGATAAAGAATGTCCCTGAAATCCACGATCAAAGTGCACCAGCTGATTGGCAAGATTCTATGAGTTATTAGAAAAAATATTTCGTATAAGTCATAGTCATTTAAAAACTATATGACTTATTTTTTTTTTAATTTTCCTGATAACTGTTGGAACCTTGCCGTCACCTGGTGCCATTTGATCGTCGACTTCAGGGACACCCTGTATAATAAATTTAAATTTCATATACATACATATGTACATTTAAGTGACCAAAATTGAAATCGGTATTCATAGGTACGAAAAAAATAAGGAATTACAATTTAACTCAATCTAATAACAAAAAAAAAAAAAAACTTTTAATTACAGTATCAACTAAAATCAGTGCTTGATTAATTAATTATTTAATTAAATTTAAATTAATGATATTTAGCCTATGTTTTATACATTAAAGGTAAAAAGTGACCTTTGTTAGCCAACAATTAAATTATTGAGTGTGTATCTACTACACGATAAATAGATAAGGGGGTATATTATTGTCATTACTTGTAATCTTTATTGTGTTATACAATAGGGTATTTTCCAACAATTCAATATCATTATGTATTTATTTCGCAGGTGCTACTTCTTAGTTCTTAGTAATTTCAATTGCTCCCAAATAAAATATATAGGTTGCTTCATTCTAGTATTTATTTCAGATACAGATCGAGTATTGTATTTTTAAAGCTGAACAATGACATAGGAGGCCACTTAGATACATTTAGCTCAAAATAATTTGCCATCATGTCGAATCGCATCTCTTGTTTTGAAACGTTTATATAGAAAAATATGGAAACGTCTAATCTTTTAGCAACGACCATGTTAGATAGATGGGTTGACCGGTCTTAATTTCCCAAACCATAGCCACTCCTGTAAGCCAGGATATACAAGCAGATACAACCTTGAAAACATTGAACCAATGAAGTCCAGCGTGACCCAGAGTCATAATTTTAATGAATGCCTTGGATCCGTCACAAAATAAATTAGATGTTATTAGACGAAACGAAATGGAATAGCAACACACTGAACTACTATAGTGTCGATGAACGGTGCCAATTGTTTACCATCAGGCGATACTAAACTTGTGGCTGTTGGCGTCTTCATCACATAAAAAACAAGTTACTAACCGACACAACTCCTGGGTCCAGCGCTGAAGGGTATGTAGCTGTAGTAGTGCCTGTTGGCCATGTTCTCTGGTAGGAAGTTGTCAGGGTTGAAGGTATCAGGGTCCTTGTAGTGTTGAGGGTGGCGGTGGATGCCGTACGTTGCTATGACAATGGTAGCTCCCGCCGGCAACACGTAGTTGTTAGTCACTATAACGAAAAAAATTATAACGTATATAAAAAATCTGAGGAGTCTTGAGTTCAGTTCCCTAGATTGGCTAAGAGGATTTTTGGTTCTCTAAAATTTGTAATAGTAGGTACAGATTCAGGTATTGATGTACGGGAACAAAATAGAGTCATAATTAAAACGGGACTTATGTCATAACTGGTGAAAAATGGATTTTAACTTTTTATACTAACTTTAATGGATTCTATTTTTTTTTTGTATTTAGGTGACCGTTATTATGGAAAATATTATTTACCGATTTTAGCGTCTCTCTTCAACTCTCTAGCAATGATGGGTACAGGAGGGTACATCCGAAGAGTTTCAAGGATAACTCGCTCCAGATACTTCATTTGTAGAGTGTCGTTGAAGGTGGCAGGCCTGTCTGAGTCACCGAAGATCTGGTACAGTTCATCATAAACTTTCGCCTGAACATCCTGGTGGAGACCTAGCAGGCATAACACGAAGCTTGAGCCAGCTGCAGTGGTGTCGTGGCCCTGAAACAGAAATTAATTTCAGCAAACGATTTTGAGTCTATTTTCTATCTTATCTAGAATGCAATTTGCAAATTGAAACATACCTCAAACATAATGGTGTCCACTTCTTCTTTAATCTCGTGGTCACTGATCTGGTTGGTGCCGTTTTGAGCTGATTCAAGCATCAGGTCCAAAAAGGCCAGACGTTTTTTCTCTCCTGTCACATTTAGGTCACATTTTATAACATTAATTATATAATACTCATTTTCTTGTTATAAAAAATACATTGAACTGCTTTTAGCGAAATCGAAATTATAGTTTTTTTATCCTGGCGTGTCTTATGATCGAGATTCTTGTTTTTGTTTAGGCGAAATAAAACAACAATTTGTTCAACTTTTTCCTTTTTTGTCACTGTCACGCGACATCAAATGACACCTAATCAGATTTTATGTAATTGGTTGTTAGAACCAATTTCTGAACTCTGGCGTCAAATTCAAATGAATTTCATGAACTGTATCTTTATCTTTAACATTGTCAGTTTTATTGTTTAATGATAGCAATTACTCCAATTACTTACCGACGTCATTTTCATCGTTGAAATCGAGATCGTCACGGTAACCTTTGAAGACTGTGTCTGATAATGTTTTGGCATTGTTCGCCAAAACTGTATCGTTACTGAGAGCCTTGCCATCAGTCAACTCTTGGAGACTAGGGGGAATTATACCCTTAGCTTTGTTTTCCTGGTAGATTTTCTTTTTTAGCTTAATGACCTGGAAACATTAAGCACTTTAAGTTAGGGGTTTATATATCTTTCTTTGTATGTAGCTATAAGTGACGACATAATCTCGTTCACAATGCCAAAATTCGCTTCAAGCCTGTAATGTTGCTTGCTGTATTTTTTAATGGTTTTTGAACATACCACATAGAGTAATAATAGTGATAATAGCTGGTCAATGACACGATAATGGTCGATTGATTGGCATCAGTCTGAAGATATATGCGTAGGTACATCAATTCTAATTTCACAGTTCCGTTTAATATTATGCAACAAACACGAACTTTGCTATTCAAATATAACGCGTCGAATCATTTTCAATTCAAATTCGAATGGTGACATTAAATTACCTTCAAACGATTGATTGATTAGTCATTTATTGACATCGTGAAGTGTCAATCATGGAAAATAAAACAATTTGCCTATTTCACAGTGACACCAAATTCAACTGTAAATCTATTGTCATAAAGACACTTTTACCTGTGTATTTTACATGTTTATACAACAATAGTATGATGATGTTAGTACCTATAGGTATTTAATTAAAATGCAGTAATGAACTTATTTACAGTTTTGCTAATTTGAAATGACTTTTGCTCATGACTTCGCTTGTGTCAATTGACTTTAGGTTAGGTTCTAGGTACTTCCCAGGTAGGTAGCCACAATTTCTATGCTACTTTCAAATTAATTTAGACTGACAGAAAATGTATGGGAATGATATTTAATCTTGTTTAATTTCTTTACTCCAATAAACGAGTAATATATTTTAATTGACTAGCTTAGCAAAATTTTAGTACAAAAATTGAAGTAATGGGTTTATGAAGTGCATATTCCAGGGCTATGCTCGTTCGTGTTCAAATAGCGTAAACACTAGTAATACAAACTTAACCCTACTAATATTATAAACGCGAAAGATTGTTTGCTTGGTACTCGTTCACGACCAAACAGCTGAAGGGATCGGAGTGAAATTTGTATTGATCTGTAACAGGGGTAGGTCATAATCTACCCCTGTACCAAATACATAGTTCATACCCCGTATAAATAAAATACAATAGTTATATATTACACGTAAGCTACTTTATAACCTACGAGAACGCGGACAAAGCCACTGGTAGTAGCTACTAAATGTTAAATACGATAAATTAATTAAATACGTCAATCCCATTAATTGACATTTCTGTTTACTGTAGTAAGAATGTAACAAACAGATTCATTATTGTATTCATAAATTAATAAAATATTGGTACTACACGTGGCTGTGAACACGTGTCGGTTAAGTTTTGATATTGTGATGTATAAGCAAATGGTATTACCTACTTAGGTACATATGTATATGTTTACCTTATTAGTAAGTCCGTGTATAATGTCCAAAAGTTTCTGTTGTGTTTTATATAATGGGTGGAATTTGAAAATACTGTCCAGTCGCAACCAGAATTTGTAATGCCTCTGGTGGATAATATCGCACATTCTGAAACAGAAATGATGTAGATTAACTCGTCGAGTACCGGTTTTGTAGACACAATTATAGAACAATAGGTTGCGGTCACCGGTGACCGCTTGGTGTTTGACAGTTTAAACAACGCTTTAAAATATTTTAATAAATTTCATCATTCATCATTTTTCATCAACAGCCTATTTGCTGAATAAAGCCTCTTCTCACACGAAGAAGGTTTGAGCATTAATCACCGCGCTTGCTCAATGCGGGTTGGCGATTACAAACTTATAATTAGAAATTATAAGGCCAGGTTATCCTCACGATGTTTTCCTTCCATTTGTCAGTGGTGTCTAGATAATCGTAGAAAGTACATATAACTCGGAAAAAGTCATATTGGTACTTGCCCTTGGTAGGTTTCGAACCCGCACCTGCATGAGAGGTGGGTGTCTTAAACCTTCGAGTCGACGCGACTATATTGCAATTAATTTACTATGTATACTTACTAGTCTTTTTCTAGGTATAAATGGTTTTTGTACGTGAAATTAGTACTTCTTTGACTAATGTCCAAGAAGTACAAGGATATACAAGGATAATGTCAATGAAGGAAATGGTATAAACCAACCATCATAAGTGGTTTATAACATTTCCTATGTATATATTAAGAAATAAGATGAAAAGAAACATAAAAATCTATGTAGTCCGTCAGTTAGATAATGAAAAATATTAGACACGTATTTTTTATTGTTACAAAAGAAGTGAATACTTAGATAAAACGAATTAGAGTTTAGAAGTGAGAGCTAGCTACAGTCTCAGCTCAGTCAATAAACCGAGTGTTACATGATATCCTAAATCTATTTATCGTCGAAAATAATGAAATTAATATACCAGACGGACATTCAAATTAAATTTAGGAAAACTATCCTATAAATTGACTTACTTCATCACAGCCATCGCGTAATCGAAGCTAGATTGATCCTGAGTCTTCTTTGTGATGCCCATAGCAGTTTCTGTATAATAAATATTGATTTAATTAGATCTGGAGCCATTAGTCGGTCTTTTGGCTGCTAGAAGTATTGTTTAGTTAACGTATCATATGAACTTATGACTACAGAACCCGACATTTTGGGATTTTTCCGAGTTAATGAAACTAGGTTTTACTTTCTATGGAATTCATAAAATATCAAAGTTACATATCATTATGCGTTCGTAATGGATTTTACGAAATATTTCTTGCATCTTTCTTGGTTTTTATGGTACACACGGCTACACATCGAGCTTTACATAACCAGTATAAACTGAACGTTAAATGTGCGGAAAGATGATGCGACGTGACACCAGGATAAACTGGTTTGTATAGATTGATGTATGGTCGTGTGTACAAGTAATTTTTTACATATTACTTCAGGAAATTAAATGTAATGTCTAGTAAAGAAAAAGTACATGTAAAAATAATGCAAGGTTATGTTCAGAATGTTTCGATTCATTAGAATAATGTATTAAACATGATTGCTATTGTTTTCTAAGTAGCTACCTACTTTAATTTGTGTTTTATATTAGGTATGTGTCACTAATTATTTAATCATTATGAATAGCTATGTCACATCGCAAAAAATATTGTACTGTAATTGAAATTAAAAGCGACCTACGATTTGATGTATGTTCAATAATTTCTTAATAACTCTATTAATAATATCTAAGCGTTAATAATGGAGTATCGTTGAGTTCTACAGAATATTAAAATCACAAAACATTATTTAGATAATTTCATTTCACTGATAAAATATGGAAGTATCACTTATAATTAATTAAAATTAAAAAAAAATGTTGTAGATACTTAACAGATTGTAGTTTTTTAGTGGATGACTCAAAACAACAAATACGCAGTTTTATTTTATTATATTTTTTAATTGATGTGCCGACGTTTGACCACTGTCTCACCTAGTAGTAAGTCACAGCTACAGTAAAATGAAACAGGGTTTTAAAGTAAGGATGTTGAGATATTCTTCTTTCCAATAATCTGTGATTATTCGATTAAGCGAAAAAATCATGATGTCATAAAAGTTCACTTTTATTTTCTTCTTTATTTCATTTTAGAGATGCTTTCCTTATTTTGTCGATAACTTAAACTAATATTAGGTACAATGATTATTATAAAAACAATTTTAATGTAACCTATTTAAATTTTCTCTAGTGTCTAACCTACCAACAATTAAAATAACAATAAGATCAAGTAAACGTTGATATAACTATTGAAAAGAAAGGAGTTTGATTAATAAAATATGAATACTGGCCACCAATGCTAAAATATCTAAGATGCCATAAAATTTAATGTCTTTTTAATTTTTTTTAGAGCTGCTTAATTTTTTTTTCTACAAAATCAGCCAGGATTATTTTATAACCAAAATACTTTAAGTAAAACCTTTTTGGATTGTTATAAGTCGTATTGTTGAATTTGATAAACGTAATTGCAATAATGACTTACCCAATAAGATATCGACTGTAACGCCACTCATGTGGTCATGAACATCAAAAGTCTTCCCGATTTCAGATTTCATCTTCTCAACCACACTCTTACTGTTCTGGTTGAAAACATCGACGAAAGATTTCAGGATATTTATATGGAATGTAGGAGCGATCATTTTTCTGTGTGAGCGCCATTTAGCACCTAAAAGAAAGATCACACATACACGTCATGTCATAACATCACGCCTTTTATCCCCGGCATATTACGGCACTTAATGCCACTGTACAATTTTAACACCCACTTTTCTGAGTTTTTTTTTTAACACTCTTTTTTTTAACGAGAGTTGAGTTTAACACCCACGATTACGTGGGACTCATAATGTAAATAGTGCTCATTCCTATTAAGGAATGAGCCTAATGCAATACACTGGGCACAATTCCAGACTCCGTACTACTATTGTAATTTTATTAAAAAATAGTTACTTTGCCCGACCCGGGAATCGAACCCGAGACCCCTTGCTCAGTAGTTTTTTTTTTATGGAATAGGAGGCAAACGAGGCAGTCTAAAGAAAAGATATCAAGAAAATTAGTAGATAGGTATGTTGTATAATATTATGGTATAAAAATTCCTTTGAATTTGAGCTATACTAAATGTGACCACAACATATTCATTACAAGCTTTCAACCTGTGGCTTTACCTGCGTGGTGAAGAGGGGAAAAGTAGACAAGATTATATTCCAGCTTATGACCTCCACATTATCCCTAACTACAAAAGATATACCTTGCAAAACCCTCAGATGCGAGAGCGATAAAACCACGTTTTAACATCATTACTGAGTATTAAATAACGATTCGTAAGTTAAAACTCAAGACATTGACCTGTGATTTCTGTACTTAGTAATAATTAATTTGTGTTAATTTTGCACGTCACTGGTCAACTATTGCTCAAATGGAAAATTAGGTATGACAAGCAGAAAGTGTGTTGTCATAAAATTACTAGAACAACTTGGCACCAGGTATATGGTTTTCATGGGTCATGGGCGCATAGACTGGGGACCTCAAGGAAGACGGCAGTACGATGGTGACGTGCCACCGTGTATTGCACAGAGAGGCTCTAAATAGACATGTAGGTCTTTATAGGAACGTTATAGGTCCCGTGTGTGTGTGGGGGGGATTGGGCTCCGGGATTGGTCTACTAAGAAGACCCGGTGCCTTCAGGTGCGAATGGTGGCCACTGGGGAGGTTTTAGTAAGGTAAAAATATCTTTTCCCCAAAAACCTAGGCGCCTTTTGAAGATTTCCCCAGTCAACAAAAAAAAGGTAATCTATTAATGAATTCGAAAATAACACAAAATTAAGTCAAGTAACCACCATCTTACCTGAACTGATGAGGAGACCTTCTCCAAGCCAAGGCTCAAAGTATCTATACTCCGAAGCCTTATCAATATGCACTTGGCTGTTCAAGATAACTTCCACATCTTCTGGATTTGCGAGAAAGATCAGAAGTTTTGAACCCAACCAGCCACGGACCACGTAGCCATATTTGTCACCGTATTCGAAGCCAAGTTTAATGAATTCTGAAACAAGGTTATTAATGTGAAACAATTGAATAAGTTTCGACAAACTAAATGACATAAGACTTGATGAACATACATAATCGTATTACGAGTACATGAAGTATGTACATAGAAGGACATCACGGAGACAATGAACTATTTTACATTTTGTCTTGTAATTTACTAGAAGATATCTTGAAATAGTATAATATTATCCTGACAGTACATCACTAAACTCGATAGTTATCAATCCGAATGGAACCATAGTAGAATATCTGCACAGCATTTAACAAATTTTGCTAATATTGGCACTCTATCTATTTGCAGGGTGATACAAAGGGTGTAATATATTTGTCTTCACTCCAGTACACAATAAATAAACTAATAATTCCATTATGCATTACGTTTAATAAATCTCACATCAAACCCCTCTTTTTTGAAATCGGTTTACTAAAACCTTTGCCTAAGTGTAGCAAACACTTTTCACAAAAATTGCACAACATCGCGCCAATCGCGAGATAACTCGCACCAACATACATAGACACATTCAAGGTCAAACAGAGAACGTCCTTCTCTTTTTGAATTTGGTTAAAAATTAAAGAGTCTCATGTACTCACGTTCAGGCTTCTTAAACAGAGCCATAAGTGCGTTTCCGAATAACGGGAGAGCTGTGGGTCCTGGGAGCATGTTTCCCATTTTGGACATCCTGGACTGATGCTGCCATCGGTGGTACATCCATATCGCGGACGCTAATAGCAGCAGCGGGTAGAATATCATCCTTGTGGTATTGGCATTCTGGTCAACCGCAACGTCGACGACCGATGTCATTTTGCTAAAACCGACAAATATATGGAAAATGAACTGTATATAATGCAGTTAAATGATTAGTTCGGTAGCTAGTATACTACATATTTGATTCATAAGTCTCGTTCTTACATTATGCGCAAATGTTTGCGTACTTTAATTATATTTTTGATGACTTTTTGAAACTTAAGCGCTTATGCTAGATTGCAATGTCAGAATATTACGATAGTTTTTATTGTTGCGTAAAAATATTGCTGACTAATGTCTATCTTGGAAAAATTGTAAGGAATATTTACTTGTTACATTTTTTTTGTGTTATATTTAGTTAATATAATAAATGCTTGTTACGTTCAGTTTTGTTCAAATGCTACTATTTAAATGACTTGCAATTAATCATAAATATTTTTTTGTATAAATTGATATTGCTGAATTTGTTGAAATATGCAATTAAATATTTACCTGACTATAATAAATCGCTCCCCCTAAAATCCTGTTTGTAACGTTTTCACTGGTAGGCCTTAAAACTATTACTGGGAAATTTGCCCGAACATATCGACATTTTATTGATTACATCTAATATACATGTCGCAGGCATTAGTACGGTTTCATTATTTGGTAAAAAGGCCGATTATTTTATATTTTTGTGAGGTACCTTCGATGTTTAAGTTTCGGTTAACTACGAGTATCATAATTTTAAGATATCTGTGTTTTCTTATTATCTTATTTGATGAATTGAATGTTTTGAATCAGCATCGATTAAATTTCTACCGTGGTCGTTCGCTATCAAGATGAACCTATCAAGTGATTCATCGACCACTATAATCTACTTAGTAGTAAGAGACGCTTTAGAGAGAGGTCGGTGAAAAAAGATCACCCTCTCCAAATGCAACCCTTAGACATGAGAGATGGATATTTTCCTTTTAACCCACACATTTTCAGTTTTAGCACTAAATAGTCATCATCAACAGCTTATAAGTGGCCACTGCTTACTAAAGGCCTCTTCTCATACGGAGAAGGTTTAAAAATTTCAACTCGCCTTTCATTTCAAATATATAATTAGAAATCATAAGCCCTGGTAATCCTCACGATGTTTTCCTTCACCGTTTGTCAGTGGTGTCTAGATAACCCGCACTCTCATGCTTGAGAAGCGGGTGTCTTAAACCTACGGCCTTTTTTTAAGAGGGGAAAATCATCGAATGACTGCTCCCGCCTGGATGAGGCGGGAGTGAGTGTCACGTTCCTTCTCCTGCACGTCGAGCTGGAGCCCCGGTAACCAGTTAGGTTCTCCGTGACAAACCTCCGGGCTGCGATACGTTTTTTACACACTAAATAATAAATTGTCACAAATAACCGTTTAGTTAACCATGAAAGTTACAAACATTTAATTAATGCCTGCGACATTGACGCAGCGTACAATAAATTAATGTTTTTCAACGACTTTTGTTTTTTGATTCTAAGTTTCAAGGATGGGACGTCATGACTAATTTTGAGGACCCTGTGAAAGGGTAAGTAGTATAGATATACTAATAATAATTTGAACAATGCTTTGTCGCATATTCGTTAGAAACCTGTTAAATCTAAATTGAACGTTTAAAACCTAACTAAGATTTTTCACATGTACATAATATCACGCCTTTTTATCCCCGAATGTGTAGGCTGAGGTGCACAGTACGGCACTTAATGCCGCTGTACAATGTAACACCCACTTTTCACTATTTATGTTATGAGTCCCATGTAATAGGAAATGAGCCTATTACCATATACCGGGCACAATTGCAGACTGCGTGCTACTATTGACATTTTTTTTAAACCCATTAAACTTTGCCCTAGCCTGGAATCGAACCCGAGACCCCTTGCCGCCAGTCGCACTTGCGACCACTCGGCCAACGAGGCAGTCTAAGATTTTTCATGTTTGATAAATATTATCAACTTATATATGACGCTTTTGTCATCTCCACCCTCCTTAGCCACTTATCTCCAGACACAAATATATTTTTTTATGGCATATGGCCGGTAAACGAGCAGACGGATCACCTGATGGTAAGCAATCGGCGTCGCCCATAGACACCTGGAACACCAGAAGCGTTACAAGTGCGTTACCGGCCTTTTTGGGAATAGGAGTTTGAAGATTGTTGGGGATTCGGTGATTGTGGAGATTGGGGAAGCGGGGAGGGAGCTGGGCCTCCGGTAACCTCACTCAGACGACGAAACACAACGCAAGCGTTGCTTCACGTCGGTTTAAAAATCATAATACCATTCCGTTGCGATATGAACGAAACGAACACAATTTCTATTATTAATATTATATCAGTTGAATTCGTTCGATATAGTTTTTAGGTTCACATGCAGACATAAAAAATGTCACGTGATTTAGTAGAATGTAGTCAAAATATATTTAAATATTTTTTTCCAACATATAATCTGCTCGCATAACAATTAGTGTAATAGGCATTTTAGGCAATTAATGTCCGAATACTGAAACGCCACTCAATATTAAGTCGTGCTTAATTATAATTCTGTCTAGAATTTTTTTTTGTAAAATGACAGAGATGGCACGATCTATCTATAGGTACATAATATATAATAACATAACATCACGCCTTTTATCCCCGACGGAGTAGGCAGAGGTGCACACAGAAGTATCACTCACTTTTCACTATTTATGTTATGAGTCCCATGTAATAGGAGGTGAGCGGCGTCTGGAAATGCGCCCGGCATATGGATATTGCCATATGGATATTGCGCATTTCCAGACGCCGTGCTAAAAAAAAATTCTCAGTAGAAGTAGGTACGTATACTACACAGTACATATACTAAATTGTAGAAAAGTCAAAACTGTAGTAACATTAAATATTTTTAAAATATAATACTTGGGGCATGATCTACAATCGATACTGAAGCCAAAAATATGTTTTTTAGAATTTTCGTCTGTTTGTCTGTATGTATGTCCGGGATCATCTCAAAAAGTACTGCATGGATTTACTTTAAATTTTGCATGAATATTACTGACAAGTCGGGGCAACATATTATCACGCTATCATCTACACGGGAGGAGCCCTATATTAGGCACTGAATCAATTCTGACGACATTCGTTACCGTAGAATATCCCTTGATAAAGACTAATTCAAAAGCCTAAATTCTGCTAGAAGTAATTATTCTACGCGGACGACATCGCGGGCAACAGCTAGTATTTCAACACAACTTAAAATTGAGTAACCTTTCAGTATTCGGGTGTAAGTAAACTAATTAATAAAGAACAAAGTTCGCTAGGTCAGCTAACAACAGGCCGTCTAAAATTGTATTGTCTATTTTTTGCAATTTACGAATATAATTCAAATCAAATCATCTATTCGCTAATATGGGTAAATTACATAAAGTTGATTGTAGAAAAGTACAGTTCCGACCATATTACGCCTTGAGGTATTCTGTTCAAGTAATACGGTTTTAATGTTGTACAATTTTAAGTATAGTTTTTAATAATATGTTTATTTTAAGGAGAATTTTCATCAGTAGTCTATTTTATATTATTGGTTTTTGTGTGGGTTACACATTTACTATCGCTGATTAGTGTAAGACTTTTCATGACCTAACTTTTTTATGAGATAAGCCGGTAAACGAGCAGACGGATCACCTGATGGTAAGCAATCGGCGCCCATAGACATCTGAAACACCATAGGCGTTACAAGTGCGTTACAGGCCTTTTGATTCGGAGACTGAGGAAAGGGGGTAAATGGACCTCCGGTAACCGCCGCGGCCGCCCGACCAGAACCAGACCCGAGCGTACGGCGCATACCGCGCGCGCCCAAAGAGCCATCAGACCACCACGGCCCCCCAATACGGCTGATGCTGATTCGGAGTCGCGGAGAAACGTGACTCAAATTACCGGGGCTCCGGCTCGAAGTGCAGGAGAAGGAACGGGGTGGTTTTAAGTCAGTAAGAGTCTGACAGTTCCTCTCGCCTCACTCGGGCGGGAGAAGTCATACGATGATTTTCACTCCTTAAAAAAATAGGAGCAGAAGTACCTTCATAACTGTAATATGATACTATAAATGAATTTTATTAAAATTTAAAAATTTGGCCCGACTATGGTTGTACCCAGATTACGGCTTAGAATTTTGCATGGCTTACCTATGATAGTCACTAGCTATCGCATTATGGGTTCTGACGGCAAGTTACAGTCTCGATAATAAAAGTACACGTCTTTATTGCATTAAGAATGAATAAATACTGTAATATCTACTAACTAAATATAAATATTAATTCTGACGTTAACATTCATAAAATGGGTGTGTGATTTAATATTATTATTGACATAAATAAGTCTTGGATACCAGTGTAGCAGCTTGTTACTGTGGCTCATCGAACTCTTACGCTCAGTTTTAGTACTTAGTAGGTCTCTCTGTACCCAAATAGAAACTTATCGTAGGCCGCATCATCGCTCACCACTAGGCGAGATAGTGGACAAACGTCCATCCTCAAATAAAAAAAGCGACTAAAATATTTGCGTAGTGCTAACAAGGCGTTAGGGCAAGACGTCGGTGTTATGGCTGTGTTCTGGGAATACTGCCACGTTCTTTTCTGTTTTTTGCTCAATTAAGACAGTTCTCAGACTTAATAAATATAAAAAACTAGATTGACATGAATTTTACAAACAAATTACGATAAACATAAGATATTTCATAAGGTCTCGTTAAAAGTGTAGTCTAGTAAACATAATGTTTTTAAATGACTAATGCTTTAACAAACAAAAACATACATGTATCCTCATTCCATATAGAGGCCGTGACTGAGGGTCAAGTTGACGGTCAGTAAAGTAGGTCCCTTCCTAGTTTTATATAGGGTGTGATACGAACAATGAAATAAAACGAATAACATAACTTATTCAATAAAAGCATAAGGTACTAGTTGGTTTATAAATAACCGAAGTTTATGTCGACAACGGAACGCACCCGAAAAATGATGGTAAAAACAAGTTTTATTTTTATAAACGTAAATATTTAAATATTTCAAAAGAAATATAAAAATGTAATAATAGAGGTAGTTGTAACTTGTAATTAGTTGTAATCAACTGCTCAAGACTGATGTTGCATGAATATCACGAAAAAAAAAACTATTAAAATTGTAACAATAATATCTTTTTGTCACCGTTTTGGGAGCGTTCCGTTGACGACCTGTGTATTGTTAGATGTTACATAATAAAAATGTTTATAGCAAAGTTTTCACTATTAAGTTATAACAATAATATTTCAGTATTACTTATTTTAAGACACAGTCAAATAAAATTAACGTCATATGTCGGTAACCAGACTCTTGCGTAGCGCTGTACGCCGCGCCACGTCGGCGGTCGGACGGCGCGCGGCGGGCGCCCCATACTCACCGTCCGCAGATGCGCAAAATCTTTGGGATAAGATCGATTTTTGACATTAGAACATTTGTTTGGAGTTTTTGTTCAAAATCAAGATCGATCCAAACTCAGTGAATGTATGAATTGACTTACTTGACTTATAGTCCTATGTCCCCTAGATGGGGCA